ATACCTGACGAGCAGCAAAAACCGCAAAACCGGCCGTGTGCTTCCAGGGAAATTTTGTCCAGTCATTCAGATACTACTTATTATGAAGAATATATATACGAAAAGGATGACTGGGATTATATGTTGGAATACAAAAGGGTTCTAGAAGAATCCGTGCTTAGTAAAATAACCATACTACTAGTCAAAATGTAGTCGTATGTCTATTTAAAATAATACATAGCTTTATATCGCTAAATGTTATGGACAATGGTTACCTGATATTGGCTTTTTCATATCCAGATTGTGAATTATAAGTAGCAGATTTTCTCAGTGGATTTATACGAAACAATCACTACATTGTTAAATGAGCAAATCCATTGACAAATTGCACCGGACAAATGAGAAACCAAAAAAGTATGTAGACTCACTTTGAATGTGTCATTGTGGGTTAAAAGACGATATCGCACCTCATCTGTAACATCACGATCAACAGCAATAACCTGAGTTATTCGAGTGTCTGGAGGAAGGTTCTCACGAACATGAATCACACCTGGAGGGATCGGACCACGATCCGGAAATGGCAAATTTGAGCCAGTTTGATACATTCCTGTCTCCAACTCCTCCTGTGAGTTGGCAACAAATTCCGGAGGGTTATCATCCAAATCTTCTAGAAAAATGTTTAGAGGCGAAGAGCTGCATAGCGGAGGAGAGCCCAGATCACAGACATGAAGAATCAGACTATAACTCGAAACAACCTCACGATCCAAAGGAGCGGAAACCACAAGGCGCATACCCTGAGAAGTACCAAGTAAAACTTGAGAGTCATTCTGATCAGAAAACATCGGTTCAAGCACAAAAGCCTGATAAATATCGACATCCGTTTTCCTGGTTCCGAAGCCTGGAGCAAATGCCTCTACGCCAACTGTTTTGATAGCTTCGAGACCATAAACTAGTTGTCCTGCAACGGAATAGTCTGCAATATCTTCATCGGAAGCTGCGAATTGTAAGACAGTGGTGCCAAAAGGCAAATTCTCAGGTATGTGTAGGCGCACAGGCAAATCGGAAGAGAATTTAGGTCGGTGTCTGTTGACTGGGTTGGCGAAAGTGGTAGATAGAGAACCCAGAGAGAGTTCATATTCTTTTCGACGTTGTTTTAGGTTCTGGATTTCTTTGTAAATATCTGAGGATTGACAGCGTTGGGTGAAATTGCCCCGTTCATCACGAGCAGCAACCAAATTGATTACAAGCTTGAATGGGACTTCTGAAATCTTCATGTCATCAGTGGCCACAAGAGTAAGAATGATCTGCGAATTCGGCTGACCCAAATAGGAGCAAGTGGCCGTTAATTCACCCGTTTTCCCATCAACTCGAAAGCACGGTCGCGATAATGTAGATGTAGCTAGGCGAATCGTAACACTGTTTTGACCATCACGATCAGCATCTTCAGCGAAATAACGGCCAAGTGCCAACCCGGATGCAGAAGCATCTAACGATGGAACAACGGAACCAGCAGATGTTACAGTTAGCCAGGCTTCACATGAAGATTCCACAAATTGCGGTGTATGTTCATTAATATCCACAATATGCACAGTGAAAACAGCCAATGAACTTCGAGGAACAGGGTATCCCGCGTCCGACACCCTAACATACAATGTGAACTCATCGGGCATGGTTTCTGCATCCAGTACTTCATCCACTACAACACTCCCTTGAGACGTTATGGAGAACGGGAGGTTATTCGAATTGTACAATGAATAAGATATATCCGTATTTGAAAGGTCCGGATCAAAAGCATCGACCCGAAAGACAACTGTACCGACTACTGCATCTTCCCGCACCTCAAACACCGATGCATTATTTCTCACGATTGGGTCATTATCATTTATGTCTTCAATGTCAATCACTAGCCGAGATTCAGGAGCACTGCTGAGGAGTAGATTGAATCGATCCACAACCGTAAATGGGATCACGATTCTACTGCCGTTTTCGCGATCATGTGGCTTATTCATAGACATGGCATCAACATCCAGAGCCCTTCTTACGATTACCGCTCCAGAAGAGGAGAGGACGATAGGCGAATCGTGAATTCCGCCGTTTATCGCTGTCCTTAAATCAGTGTACACAAAGCTATAGTTTGTCATAGTGAATGTCAATGACGGTTGAAGAATTAAAACCGTGCAGTTGATGAGAGCTGCTTCAGTAACGCTTAGTCGAACTTCATCGGGAAAATAGATCCGGTACGTGGACTTGGATACAACTGGAATGTTGATGAGATGCCTCGATTTCAGAGTTTCCGTAGTGACTGAAGAAATTTTCGTGTCAACAGCTTCCGTTTCATCACTCGCCTCTAGAGTCAACACAATCCGACCGTTGAGTGATATGGAGGATAAATTCCTTCGCACCTGCAGAAGCCATTCGGATGGGTTACCTGTAGGAAGTAACTCGAAATTGCTTCGCATGCCTGGTTCGACTATTTTCAGAGTGTGTTTATGTTGCTGGGCAATGTTTGTACTGACAACACTTACACGAGCATAAGCAACTCCGGCAACCCCAGGCAAGTGTATGTCACTGAATTCTTCAACAATGATGTTCGGCGGCCTCTGAGTGCCACGCGAAATGCGCACATGAACCTTAGCCAAACTGACTATGTTGCAGTTTACGTGCGTTTTTGCCCCGCGATGAGTGGCATACACGTTAAATTCGTACTTCGTTCTGTCGCTTAAATTATCCATGAACATTAAACCACGCATTTGATCATAGGATTCCTGAGTCAGCACTTTTGTGAGATATATTTCACCGGTGTATGGATCAATACGGAATGGAAGGTCTGTTACTGCCGGATCCAGGTAGAAGTAAATTTGTGCATTAAATCCAGAATCTGCGTCGCTCGCAGTAACGCGAGCCACTGGTCTATGAACTGATGCTTCTTCACGGACTGTAAAGTGGTAATTAATTGTGGAGAAAAATGGGCAGTTCTCATTTTGATCAACGACACGAACGATAACTTTAGTTTCGTTGCGCAGCACAATGGTTGTCATACCTGCAAGCATCCTAGACGTGAATACCGCTTCCACAGTGAGGATGTAGTTGGACTGTCTACGCGTAACGTCGGACTCAAAAGCAGTGAAGAGGTGTAAAAAGAAAAATCTCCCAAGCTTGGTTGATTTGGCAATGAAAGATCTGTCATCGCTTCCGGACCTGATTATCCTAAAATCTACATTCCCGGACGGGTTGCCACCAAAGGGCTCCGGCGCACCCATATGGGCATTTAACGGCATTACTAGCTGCTGAGGGCTACCATTTTCGATCAGAATAGCTTCATACAATGGTGATGTGAAAGAAAACGGTGGTGACTGATCATCAGATGGCACAGGGGAAAAAGTAGCGGTCCCACATAAAACAGTTCTACACAGCAGCGTTACCAGCAACGCACACAGACAAAGCCGGATCCGAAACATCCACATGCTGAAAATTTTATTCCATCTATTAGTCACAATGGTGCTTTTCAGATGACTATATGAACCAATTGGAAACCACACATACTGGACGCGGTGACTCTATCAACTATATTCGAATCCGTGCAAGGACGCAAATTCAAAATTTTCGCTTTAAGGGCAACGAAACGGATACGTTTAAAGTCTTGATATCAGGTCAGGCTGCACAAGACTCAGTTCAGTTCAGTTCAGTTGCACAGGACGAATATGGCTCTTGCCAATCGAGCGTCCAGTTCGTTGTGTTGTCGGCGGATGGGATTGGCTTCCAACACTGCGTACGGTTGATTGAGTATTTGTGATCCTCACACTTCAACCCCGTGTCCAGAAGGTTGTCTCCTTGGGGGTATGCTGAAAGGGAGGAAAACAAGCAAGGATATCTCCTCGCCTCATTCGTTAGAGACCTCAAG